TATATATATATATATATATATAAATATGTATATACGTACCGATAGATACTGGTGCCTTAGAATGTGAGGTCTCAGGTGAAGACGGCCCAGGTAAGGTCTCAGGTGGCAAGTTCTCTGGTGAAGACGGCCCAGGTAAGGGCACAGGTGAGGGCAGAGGTTGGGTCACATTAATATTAGACACGAGGCAAGTATCATTAACAAATGGTGGGCCAGGGCAATAGCAAGCTGTCTGATTCTTGACAAGATCATACCCACACCGCCCCTTTGACGCAGTGCAGCCACTGCACTTTTGGCTACCATTAATCTTCCACCTTACCGGAAAACCCCGTCGGAGGGTTTGAACGAGTTCCGTGGCATTCGGAAATTCAGATCCAGGAGTCGGAACAGTAACACTGTCGTTGCAAATTCTTCCAGGGCCGCGATTTCCAGGCACGACATACGCACTGTTGCCATTCCCACAAGAAAAAGGATCGGCACTGGATATATTATTGGAAATATTTGTTAAAATCCAGCCGGGTATGCACTCGTACAAGAAAGTAATATTCGTGTAAGCAGTGGCGAACTCGAAGACGGAGTAGTCCAGGGTTGTGTTCTTCATTTCCGTGGGGCAGTTTTCCTCCATCACGTCCTCCCTGGCAATAGTCATTGTCTGTGTGGGTTGTGCTATTTCCAGGACACGGTATTTCATGCCCATGATTTCGATGTTGGTTGTATTTTTCCGAGTATTGCAATCAAGGATTAAATTGGGGTGGCCGCAGTGTTCGGGATCGGAGAATCCCCTGAAAGGGTATCCAATTCCGGTGATGTTTTTGCCGCAGCTGAATGTTTTGCCGCACGTCTGGTAATATTGGTCGTCGGAGATTGCACTTGAGATGTACGGGGATTGGATTATAATCAAGAATATGAGATGGAGGAATGAAAACCAGGGCATCTTTCTTTGGCTATTCATTTTTTTAAGAGAAAAAGGTAAACGCGAGGATCGGAGAAACAATGTAGTTCGTTTGTCGATTGGTTGTATAGAAGATTATGTAAGGATGTAATTGACTATTGACTAGGTGGTACGGTAGAGTTGAGGGGAACCTTGATGAAGATAATGTATAGAATATAGTTTACTTTGCTAAATGATTAATTATGGAAGTTAACAAATGATATCAAGAAAGCGACAGAAAATAAATTAATAGAGTTGGAGAAACTTTCTTTAGAAATTGTCCATGTGACCGTACACTACGTGGATGAGGTATAAAGAAGGTACAAAATAATATTCCCTCTATTTTGTTTTTTTATTTGTACGGAATCCGGAAAATTACATTTTATGTCTCTAAATTTTACCACTAAACGATTTATGTTCTCAAATATTTCAATCCACGAAATATGTCCTCGAATTTGCCACTTTCGATCAATTTATGTTATGCCGTTACATCATCAGCCAACTTGGACGGTGTACGTGTGGCTCACGTGACGCTATCTCGCCGTTAAATGTGACGTGGAATAACACATGGCATTGTTCGAGTGGATTTTATGCAAGATTTCTTCAATACATGGAAAGTTATGCAAAACTAATTATGTTCATTAATCAGAAATTTTTGGGATCAAAAACAAAAATTGCACACAATGTGATTTAAGTCAATGCAATCAATGTAACAAATCCCATCCTCATTCTCAATCGAGGTCTTTATTGACTATATTACCCTGGACCGTTACGTTGGATACAACTAAAATATTTTTCTACTGTTTACGCGATTTGCGTAGAAATGATCCTGATATCAGTCGAACATGGTATTATTGAATTCTTCTCTTACATGCATACAAACTCGAACAAAGTAGTCAATATTATATCTACATCGGACTATCAACTGAATGGATGGATCGGATGTTCGGAACCCATGGTGATCCGGTTGAAGATAAGGCAAGAAGATGTAGTCTTCTGCTTTAATTTGTTCTTAATTAGCTTCTTAATTAATGCTTTCTTTCGAGGTTGTTAGAATCTAATTGGATTCTAATAAACAAGGGATGAGTAACGACTTGTGCAACAAGTCCTTATGTACCGTAAAACACAAAAGGGAAGTCTCCTTGTTTACTTTAATTCTTTAATTTGTCATTAATTGTTTCTTTTATATAGGAAACTATCTTATTGATTAAAAAGAGTTATTCTTAACTTAATGACTTGTGTAGAAGTCTTGTGAAAGAAGAATTCCTTTTTTTACATATATTTCACACCGTGAGAATCAAGAGATAATGTTTTCTTATTATTTGTTATTAATTGGTATTTTATATATATTTTTGGGAATCAGTGTTTGAATAGGAGTTAATATCTTTTGATAAGATTTATATCCTAATATGCTTGATACGTATTTTATGTTGGACTCTTGTAGGTTTCTTTTCACCAGGCTTATAAAGTTGGAGCAAATACACGTTAGTGTTTGACGTCCTTTTTGGAGAAAACATATCTCTGTTTTCTTTGTTGCTGGTGTGCTTTTTTGGAGAGAAAGATTTTCTCTTTTCTTTGTTGCTCCCGGAACGTCCTTTTTATCGAGAGAAAATATACAAAGAAAATATTCTTGGCTCTCGTTTTTGTTGTTCCATCGTGATACGTGATTTTCATAGAAAATATATCGGCTTCAAGGCTTTGTGGTGAAGACACCAAGATTCAAGGAGTATCACAAGTTTGCTTCTTCTATACAAAAAGAAGATCGGTTCTTCGGGAGAGGGGCTTAAACAGATCTCGGGAGGAGATCGATCCGCCGACTGAGGGATTCAGCGTTGAAGGGAGTTCAACCGTGCGGAGCAAGGGACGTGCTGCAAATTGAAGATTTATAATTCAGCGTAGTATACAAGAACGACGTCAACAAAGAGGGAGTCTTTGTATTTTGATTAAGTCCTATTATTGTATTCGTAAAACTAAAAATTAGTAAATTTTATTTGCAGGTCCCCGTGGATGTAGGGTACAATTGTATCCGAACCACTTTAAATTTGTGTCTCGTTTATTTCTGTTTTTACGAACTGCTTCACGAACTGTTGCAACACTTTACGCAACAGTAACGAAAAACTGAATCTGACACAAATAATTTATATCTGCACGAAATAAATTCTAACAATTGGCATCAAGAGCCTGTCACTAGATACACTTAGTGAGATTTTTGGGATTTAATTTTTTAATTTGTTTTATGCAGATATGTTTCATCGTGAAGGAGCGTCTACAGTACGACCACCTCTCTTGGATGGATCAAATTACTCTTACTGGAAATCGAAGATGAAGATGTTCATCAAGTCAGTTGATGAACGAGCTTGGCGTGCTATTGTGACTGGTTGGACCCCGCCCATGGCTAAAGGAACGGATGGTATGCAAACGGTAAAACCAGAAGAAGCATGGACTAATGAAGAGATATTACTTGCCAATTACAACTCGAGGGCGATAAACTCAATTTTCAGTGGCGTTGGTGACAATCAGTTCAAACTGATAGCATCGTGTGAATCTGCAAAAAGGGCATGGGAGATCCTACAAGTGACGCATGAAGCCACATCAACTGTTAAAACATCTAAGTTGCAGATGCTAGCCACAAGATTTGAGAGTCTTCATATGGAGGAGGATGAGACGATTGCTGATTTTCACGCTAAACTGTGTGACATTTCAAATGAATCGTATGCACTAGGTGAACAATACTCGGAAACAAAGTTGGTAAGAAAGGCACTACGTTCATTACCAGAAAGATTTGCTTACAGAGTTGCAGCAATTGAAGAAGTGAGGGATATCAATACGCTGAAGCTAGATGAACTCATGGGTAAACTGCAAACCCAAGAAATGAATTTTAGAGCAAATATTCGAGAAAAGAAAAAGGTGAAGAATGTGGCATTCCAGGCTGAAGCTTCCCATGGCATCTCATAAGACCAAACATTTCATGAGTATGACATTGATGTTGAAGAATCCTTAGCAATTATGTCAAATAACCTCGAAAGTTTGCGTCAAAAGCTTGAAAATAGAGGAAGTTCCTATCAATCAGGTAAGTATGTTAACCCTAAATTTTTTTTCTAATAATGGTTATTCTGATGATGCAAAGTCTAGGAGAATGCAATGTCGAGAGTGTGGGGGTTTTGGACATATTCAGGCCGAGTGTGCGAACACTTTGAAGAAAAAGAGGATGTCACTCACCACTGTTTGGAGTGATAAAGAGGACAGTGATGAGGATGAGAAGAACAAAGAAGATCACACCACAAACTTTATGGCATTCAGTGGTACTACTCAGATAAGCAAGTGCAAAGAGACTATCGCTGAAACTGTTGCAACAGTCTGTCCGACAGATTTCAGGTATGATGAATTATCTTTAAATAAGGACAATAGTCTGACTTCACCATTTAATTTTGCAGGTGAATCTGAGAGCAGTAGTGATGATGAAGAGCCAACCCTCGAAGAGGTGAAAGATGTATATGAAAAAATGTACCGGAAGTGGCTTGAAGTATCTGAGGTAAATAAACGCCTTGAAAATGATAAGCATGTTCTTATAGAGGAAAATAAAGTGTTGAAGGTAAGAATTTCGACTCTTGAACAAAATGTTATTTCTTCTAGTAGAGAAATAGATAGCTTGAAGGCTAAATTTGCTCAAACCCAAGATGTTATTTCTAAGTTTAATACTGGTAGAGTAACTTTGAATGAAATTTTGAACAAAAATCAGCCAAACTACTGTCGTATAGGTATAGGGGGTAACCAACTATCTACTGGTGCATCGAAACAGAAAGAAAATCCTAAAAGAAAAATCAATTTTGTTAAGCAATCCACTGTTTCACAGACTGCTGCGACAGTTGCACCAACACAGCCATTTCAAAGAAAAGTTTTTGTTCCTACCTGTCATTTTTGTCATGTTCCTGGTCATATACGACCCAGGTGTTTTAAGTACTTGAAAATGGTTAAAAGAATAATGGCCCGCTCACCACTTTCCGCTAAAATTGATCACACTTTTGTGTCGTCTCAAAAACCCAAGATAAAGGTTGATTTAGTGAATAAAACTCAACAAAAAATCTGGGTAGAGAAGTCTGATCTTAATTGTTTATCTGCCATAACTTCTTTAAACTCATGTGATGATAGTACTAACTGTTCCAACAGTTCTGGTGACAAAGCTAGTTTGGGGAATAAAAAACTTGGTAATTTGAATTGTGATAATCTGTATGCGAAAAATAAGTTTATGAATCCAATTCAACATTCGAGAACTAAGCTTACTGATATTTTTCATTGCTTCATAAGGGGCTTGGTTGAAAAGGGGGTTGTCTCAATTGATTATGCTGCAACGGAGAATGAATTAACTGATGCTTTTGCAAAAACCCTTGATGCACAGAAATTTGATTCCTTGCAAAAATCGCTGGGAATTTATGTTGTTTAATCTGATGCAGTTGCATGAACTGTTGCAACAGTCTGTGTGTCCAGACTTGCAACTTTTAGTGGTAGGACACTTCATATGTTTTTGTATGTCATATAGGACCTGCATTAAGCATACTGCATATGATTGAGACAAATGTGAATTTGATACTTCGTGTATTTCTAAATTTTGTGGGGGTAGAACTTCACCAATTCGCAAAATGATTACTTAAAAGGCTCCAACTTATTTATTTCTCTGAATAGTCTTGTCATGGTTGGATGTTTTTATAGGGAAAAGCTGCCTCTTTTAGTGAGTGAAAGCTACTCTTGAACTACTGTTACTAATATATATATCTACAACCATTTGGTCAATGAATAGTTCGAAGCCTTTTTGAGTCGAGCCAGTAAATCACGTGGCCGAAAGCTCGCTACAAGGCTCGATTAGAAAGCCCAGGGGACTACACATTGCACGACCAATATAAATTATATATATATGGTCAGTGAATAGTTCGAAGCCTAGTTGAGTCGAGCCAGTAAACCACTTGACCGAACACTTACTACAAAGCTTAATTAGAAAGCCTAGGGGACTACACATTGCACGACCA